GTCGCGGAGAACCTAACGGGTAACCGGGGCTCCGGCTCGACGTGCAGGAGAAGGAACGGGGTGGTTTTTAGTCAGTAAGAGTCTGACACTCCCTCCCGCCTCACCCAGGCGGGGGCAGTCATTCGATGATTTTCCCCCCTTAAAAAAAAAAAAAAAAATCCACCCACTAGCTTTTCCCAGCGAGATAAATTCAAACATTCGAACATAGTAGGTAATGTACATACCCTTGTTCCAAAAATCCCGATCCCTTCAGCCGATTTGACGTGATTGAGTACACACAAACTTACCAACTTTCCCATTATTAATATAAGTGGGACTCTGTTTTTTTTGGTTTCGATATGGATTAAATGGAACAACCATTACTGTATTGTACCAATACTGTATAATATTTCGGATCTGTCTAGTAATTTTGTCTAACGGCCTAAGGTTCAGCAAGGGCCCAGTGTTGGAAATGCATCGGTGGTCGATAGAAGCTAGAAGCGTATCCGTAAAATAACTCGTGCCAATGTGGCCTACACTGCACCCTTATCTGAAACTTCTGAAACGGATATACAGTTGGGTTCGGTATACTTATTTATTTATTTATTTATATATACTTTATTGCACACATAGAAAAATTGTAAACATTTCAATAGTAATTTGAGTACAATGGGCGGTCTTATCACACGCGGCGATTTCTTCCAGACAACCTTTCGATGGAATTTTTGAAAAGAATCTGGGAATGGGTGGTAGATGCACAATAAAAGAAAACCAAAATAGAAGAAAAACAATAAAAAACAAATTAAACAATTAATGAAACTTACAGACTTATTATAATACATAAAAGATAAAAATGGCAATACTATGTAATAAATATATACTTAAATGTAAAATGATAACTATATATAGTTACGTGTATGAGTATGTGTGTGTGTGTGGTGTGTGTGTGTGTGTGTGTGTGTGATGTGTTTATCCATAATGAAAGGACAAAAGCATTTCTACAGTGACAGGTAGTGTTCCTTCACACGTCCCTTAAACTGACCCAGAGTTTGAGCACGTCGCACTTCCACCGGCAGCGCATTCCACAACCGAGCCGCTTGTATTGTGAAAGACTTGTCATAAAAGCAAGTGGAGTGCTTACAAATGCTGAGCTTAAGATTCTCCGATGATCTCAGGAACTTCGAATGTGTGACACCCAGAAACTGGAAACGTTCCTTTAAATAGAAAGGGGCAGCAGGATTAAAAAGTACATTAAATAGTAACGAAAGGATATGAGCGTTCCGGCGAAGGCGGATAGGCAGCCATCTGAGCTTACTACGAAATTCAGAAACATGATCATACTTGCGCAAACCAAATATAAATCTGATAGAAAGGTTTTGAAGGCGCTCAAGCTTGTCCAATTGTTCTTGGGTGAGATCTAGATAGCTGCCATCAGCATAGTCGAGTATTGGTAGAAGAAGAGACTGTGCAAGTGCAATTTTGGTTTTTGTGGGTAAGAAATTACGAAGACGCCTTAAGGAGCCCGCTGAAGCAAACAATTTCCGACTGACCACCTGCAATTGCTTATTCCAGGAGAGGTTACTGTCAATGTAAATCCACAAGTTCTTAACATCGCGGGAGAAAGGAATTTTTGTATTTAGAAAAGAAACTTGGGGAAGACTTGTCCAATTCATTTTGGAGACGGTACGCGCACTACCAATGATAGTCACCTGCGTTTTTGATGGATTTACTAGTAACCCAAATTTGGAACTCCAGTCACCTATATTATATTTATATTTCAGACTATTTTTCGCCAGCGGCTTCGCTCGCTTTCCCAGGGGTAAAAAGCCTATAGTCGTGATGGCCCGGAGGTTTAAGACGCCCGCTTCTGATACATGAGGCCATGAGGGTACGGGTTCGCAACCTGCCAACTGCAATTGTTACATGTATGTACCCATTAACGGCACTATCTTAGTTTCCTGACATAATTTTGATTCTCATCCCAAATACAGACTAAATATTTTTTCAAAAGATGTACCTAACAGCAAGTACCAACGTGACTATATCCAAGTTATATGTACTTTCTAAGATTATCTAGACACCACTGACAAACGGTGAAGGAAAACATCGTGGGGAAACCTGCAGCTGTAGCCAAATGCCACTTAGCGCTTGTCTACACGTAGAATAGAAAACCAAATTATATGGAATTGACGTAAATTTTGACAGTTGTCAGTGTCATCCCCATACATTTTGATTTCTACTCTCTCTGTAGACAAGCGCTAAAGTGGTTTTTTTACTTTAGCGCTTGTCTACAGAGAGAGTAGAAATCAAGATGTATGGGGATGACAGTGACAAGTGTCAAAATTTACGTCAATTCCATATAATTTGGGTTTCTATTCTACAAGTAGACAAGCGCTAAGTGGCATTTGGCTACAGCTGCTGGGCTTATAATTTCTAATTATAAGTCTGTAATCGCCAACCCGCATTGAAGAAGCGTGGTGATTAATGCTCAAACCTTCTCCGTGTGAGAAGAGGCATTGCTCAGCAGTGGGCAATTATAGGCTGTTGATGATGATGATGAAAAAACCTATGTGTTACTCCAGACCATAATCTACCTCTGCTTCACATCCCGGTCCCTTCAGTCATTTTACTGTGACTGAGAACACTTGGTTCGTCAAAAGTCGATATTCTTTTCCAAACTAAAGCAGTTGACTCAGAATTAATGATTCAATAATACTGAAGCACTATTCAGGATAACGTTTGCCAAAATAAAGACGAAAAAATTAAGAATTGTAGCTACAAGAGTCAAAAGACTGGCACAGGGTGTACTTTTTCTTAGATAACACACAAGTCATTGTAATTTTAAAAACTATGCGACTTGAAATTTTTTAAATTATTTCCTGATAAGTAATAACTGTAGAAACCTTGCCGATCACCTGGTGCCATTTGATCGTCGACTTCAGGGACACCTATCAGGGGTTGCCAACTTGATTAGACCTAAGATCGACTGTTTACTAACGAAATCCTGTGCGATCTACCAAGTACATACTTCTTGAAATTAAACTGCATAGTTTAGTACACAATCATGTATTTTTTACTGACCAGTCTTAGTGGTTTCTTTTCATATCACATGTGAGATCGTTTTCTTAAATTTACTTAACATTATATGGGTCGACTGGTCGATCGCGATCGACCGGTTGTCCACCCCTGCTGTATATAATTAAAAAGTGACTGACTGACTAGCATCCTGATCTATCAACGCACAGCCCAAACCGCTGGACAGATTGGGCTAAAATTTGGCATACAGATAGATGTTATGACTTAGGCATCCGCTAATAAAGGATTTTGGTCATTTCCATCCCCAAGGAGGTAAAATAGGTGATAGGATGAAAGTTTGTATGAAACTTTGTTAGTCTTAAATTATAGATTCCAAAAATCAACATTTAAGTCCAAACTTTGTCCGCGTCGAGCGCGGCAACCTATACACAAAAATAATTCATATAGCATGATTCAGTATTCTTGCGCGACGGGCGCGATCGCTTATTAGCGTATTTCATGTATAAATTTAGTATTTCCATACTGATTTCTAATATATTTTTTTTATGAAATAGGTAAAAATGTTAACTTTTCTAATCATGGATGAGTGAGAATATTATAAACGTAAGAGTAAGCAACTATAAGCGGAAAGCTCCAAACTGCTAAGCTATCGGGAGTTAGGCCCGGCGCCCACTATCGGTGGACATCGGTAGAGCTCGAGCGCTTTACGCCGGCTTCGGGCGGCTTTGGGCGCCTTAGAGCTACGTCGGGCGACTTCGGGCGGTTTTGGGCGCCTGAGAGCTGCCTCGGCAGTCGTAAACACGCCTAAGAACGCCGTAGCTGATTTTGGGTTGCCTAAGAATAGTTCTGGCTGCAGAAGCATCGCAGAGCAGTCACTCGTAACGTTCCGTGAAAACAGTTGTTTTTGTTTATTTTTTTAAGTGTTTATTCGTAAGTTATTTTTGTACCTTTTAGATACAAAACTAGATATTGTGGGCTGCTCAATCATTTAAGCAGCCGTTAAATATTTAACAAACGTTTCAGTATTCGGGCATTAGTCTCAAAAAATTATGATATTTATTTTATTTTTACGTGGTATTAGGACAGTACCAGTATATATTTATTTTATTTTAATTAGATTAGTATTTTGGTCAAATAAAAATGCCAATAACAGTTTTCTTTACGAATGTATCTACATGCGCAGAAGTTCGCAGAGCCTATGTTCGGGACTGCACAGTTATTTTGGGTCTACTTGTACGATACGATAATGAAGGCACGTGCGGTGATCGAAAAGACTGTTCTGCGACGTGTCTGATCCGAAAATACCACCCGAACTACCCGAAGACCGCCTCGGCATCCTTAGCCATGCTAACCGCCCGAAATCGCCCGACGGAGCTCTAAGACGCCCTAAGCCGCTCGAAGCCGGCGTAAAGCGCTCGAGCTGTACCGAGCCGCACCGATGCCCACCGATAGTGGGCGCCGAGCCTTACACGTACGTGTCATTATGAGTCAACCATAAAAGATAGACATATGCGTTTTAGGAATATTTTTTAGATATTTTATGTAGAATATTTCCGTCATTCATGATTTCTGTGTAGCTTGGAGTAACTTCTCCCGTTTTCCCAACACTTCCCTTTACTGCTCTGCTCCTATTGATTGTAGCGTGATGAACAATATACTGTAACATCCCCAGGAGTATAAAGAATAATGTGAAAAATGTACGAAGTTTCTTTAAAATTCGTCGCGTAGTTTTTGTTTCTATAAGGAACATACAGACATACAGACAAACATTTTACTGATTGTATTTTTGGCATTAGTATCGATCACCCCCTGATATTTATTTTGGAAATATATTTCATGTACAGAATTGACGTCTCTACAGGTTTATTATATTATAATTATGTAAGTGATATATGATTAATGCGCAAACCTTCTTCGTGTGAGAAGAGCCTTTGCTCAGCAGTGGGCATTTATAGGCTGTTGATGAAGTAAGTAGGTACCTATATAGATATCCGATTGTTTCAGTTACGAACCTCCATATAAAATTCCTGATTTGTTCACGCAAAATTTTAAGTAGGACCTTTCTTATATCAAAATACATAATAATTATTAAAGAAAACAGTAATAATGTGTTCAATAATTCACGAACGATTTACTAAATCAAAAATGGTGCTGCCACACCTGTAATGTTTTTGATAGATCTATCTGTCCAACGATACCCCGCAGGCCCACACTGAAGAAAACGCGATGTCATCCTCACCGTTAACGCGTAGGGGTTAGGTGGGTACCCTAAAAATCTGGGGACCCGCCAAGTCGAGCGCGAAGCAAACACCGTACCATCCTTTACTGGAACCACTTGGTTGTTGAAAGGTAACACCACGTTTTCAAGTGACAATTTTCCATCGTCAATGGGTAGCGGTTCTGGCGACAGATTGGTGCAATGGTGTCATGGAGCACATGGTTTTGTACCCTTCTACGGCGAAGTCACATAACATTATGAATGCATGTGTGTCAGCCTGGAGTTGTCATGCTCACTCAAAAGTCTCATTGGCAGTGGCACGGGCAGTGGATCGCTCGATTCCCTATAACATGGTCGAGTTGGGCGGTGCTGGTGTACGTGTCATGTTCGTGAACGGGCGCTGTCAACTGGGACTGGTCAGCTCCAGACTGTATTAAATTTGTTGTCCTCAAGGTTATTTTCTTTTTCCGTCTCCTTGACCAAATATTGGTATTACATTGTTCTCACATTATTGAACTCAACGGAAGAATGTAACCAAAAATTGTATTGTGAACATGATTGAAAAAGAGTAACCTATGGAGTTTCTTGCTCGTTCTTCTCCATAATCTACACTTTGGAACGAGCAAATAGCTTCACTAGAGGACTGACTTACAGACTGACACATTTTTCTTTTCTTATTATTTAGTATTTAAATATTTTGTTTTGACGTTCAAAAGTGCCTTACTGGTCTAATTGAAATAAATGATTTTGACTTTTGACTTTTTTTGACTATTAACTATAATAATAACAAAATCGCAATAAGGAACCTTGGACTTGGCACGACTTTGTTATATTTCATTACTTATTAAAGATAAACTAGCAGCTCCATCGAGACTTGGCTAGTTTTTTACAGAATGTTTTTGGTGGGATATAATTTTCAACATTTAATTTTATCACTTCATGGTATATGATTAATGTTTAGGTATGTTTGCCATGGATATATATCTTTAGGTACACATGAATGAAAATTTATGTTTTTATATAACTTTCCAGTTCTCGTACCTACCAATACTTTTTGAGCGGAACAGACGGACATGGACATGACTAAGCTCTGGCTACGGAATCTTAATTTAATCTTAATCTAGTTAAATGACCCAGGGGACTAGGTCATTTAACTAATTCGTTTGATCAGGATCTTATATAGAAATGGCTGCCTGATTGTTACCGAGTGACGTTAATATAAAATCTTTACCCTCGTGGCAATAATGAAAGTATGGGCGGCGCTAGTAAACAACAAATACCTACCGAAATAAAAACATACACCTAAACATTGGAAGCAGAATATTGTGCAAATACAAAATCCATATAATTTTAATCATTTTATTATGTATTAGTCTATTCGCAACTAGGACAATAATTAAGTATATTTACAACACTATAACAAAGTGCTCTTTTTATTGTTAGAACTAAGTCTCAGTAGTCATTAGATGAATACAGAGACAAATATTGTTAGGATATGGTATGTGTCATGTATGTAAATATTAAACTCGGGCAAAGTAGTAAATCTATAAAAAAATTATAATGTCATTTATTTAATCTTTTGAAAATCTGTTACTGATAAACAAAACGGTGGATACGAAAGGCATTTGCGATATTTGTTTGCGATAGTAGGTACTTTCTAGATAATAGGTATATCATTATGAACGAAATTAATTACTTACATACTTTAAATACTAAGACAGTTAAGTATTCATATATACTTGTATAAATTTGGCAGTGTTATTATATGCTATCCATGTTTCTTTTCTTTTCATGCATGGAAATACATCACAATAGTTTCCCTAGAAATAAGATTTTTATTGAATCTCAAAGTTTGTTAATTTAATAGTCTCTTCATTGTCGGCGTCTTCCACGCACACCACGACGCCAGTTTGGTCTGCGGTAGTAAGGCTGGCGTGATGGGCGCGGTCGGCGGTAGGATGCATTAGGTACGGAGCTCAAATCTCCTATTGTTGTAGGCACGCGAACGGAGCTCTTGCGAGGCACAGGCCAATCTCTCATACAAACAGCGCATCTATAAAAATGTAAAGTCATAGTTATAATAACGATGTAGCTCAATTATTTTATTCAATTTTGTCGTTGGCGTCCAAGGGGCCTAGTGTTCTATGGGCCATGGGTAATATTTGCAAAAAGAAACAACAACGGTAAATAGAGCAACAAAAATCTAACAATACTTTGCTAACCTACAATATATTTTTATAGCAATCTAATACTAAACAGATCTTTCGTATTTCTTAAAGAAAGCTATTAAATATAGATACTTATTTAATATAGATACTAATTAATGAGCATAATTATAGCTTTCGTATCAACAAACACATTACATATTCACAAAATAATATTATTCTTGCTTACCTGCTGACTTTAGAGACTAGGTCAGCTTTCAATGTTTGCTGTTCTGGTTTTTCAAACATTCTGTAGTCTTCTATGACCGAGAGCCAGTACGAGATTGCTGTTGCAAAGTAATTGCAGCGCCCTAGGCCATTACATTCGATGAAGGGTCGCGCGCGGAATTGTCTCATGCATGATCCAGGAGATATAAGACTTTGTCCTGTTGCATCTGCACCGGCAGTGTGCTGTAAAAAAAATACAAAAGTTAAATAAGTTCTTAAAAAACTTTAAATATATCTGATATTGAAAGTATATTTATATTATATGTTTAGGTAGATACGTTAGGTAAACCAACAAATTATTTAAAAATCGAAACATTAAAAATGCTTTTAAATGGAACAGTCCCTAACCAAGTTCAGAGGGCTTAGTACAAGTTTGTCTTACGTTTAAAGTAACCGAAATGAGACCTCGCTGGGCCCTCAGAGGCCTTAGTACAAGTTTGTTTTACGTTTAAAGTAATCGTAACGAGTACGCGTTCGGCGCTTTGATTGGTTGATGCATTCGAGCCGGCCAATCAGAGCGCAGAACGCGTACTCGTTTCGAATACTTTGGACGTAAATCAAACTCGTACTAAGGCCCCTGATAGGTTGGTTCATTGGAGCCGGCCAATCAGAGCGCCGCGTACTCGTTTCGATTACTTTAAAAGTAAAACACTCGTACTAAGCCCTCAGTATTGATAATCGTTACATTTTAGAAACGTAACATACGATAAGTCAGGTGTATTTTTAAGGAAGGAATAGCATCGAATGACTTTTCCTGGTGGAAGGTGGAAGTCAGGTGCGGGGACAGCACAATCCGGATTCCTGAATTCTTAACTTATAAAATTACCATCACAAAAGTTAATCTCTTCGTATATACCCGACCCGGAACCACTATTTGTAGATTATCTACATAAAGAGTTCAATAATTACCTAATATAAGTTTAATAAGTATTAACTGATCACTGTCATCATAAGTATAAACTTATTGAAGATTTCTTACCATTAGGAAACTGTATCCTTGCCACAACTCACTCCAACCACTAGGACACTCAGGCACCAAATTGCTTTGACTATGAATGGCAATAGTTCGTGTGGGAGCTTCGCATACCTGGCATCTGTAAAATAATACAATTTTCTTTTATTTTTTTTGTCTCCTGTTAATGTGACACCATACATACTTCTTAGATATAGGTAGAACGCATTTTACCTCATTTACCTATTCTACTTTCATACGTCTTCTCCGTTCATACGTTACAGTTATTACTAGAACACCGATCGGATCGCCATAAATAGCCAGCCGAACTGTTTTGGAGATCGACCGGTTAGTCAAGATGGTGTGTATAGTCACTTGTCACCCGCATTTGCTCTACATTCCACATGCTGAATGAAATTAGGACTAAGTATAATCCCTATATAATACAACACATGCATACCTCGATATGTAATTTCCAACGTCCTTGGCCTGTATGGGTGTCATAGACATAGGCATAGGTTCAGGAGTTGATAACCAGAAACTATAATCTTCACGTTGAGCGAAATTGCAAATTTCATTAAAGTTACAGAACATGTAAGGTAGGGTCGAAAATTTGCGCAAACAACTTCCCGAGGCACCTGAAATAATAAAAAAAAACCCGTCATTATACAACTTAATGAAACCTTATTTTACCGTTTATGTTTTTTAAGAGGTAAATTTTTCGCTGAAAGAATTTTCGATTGCAAATTATGTCGCCCTTCGGTATTTAATTAATAAATTAACAATAACCTCGTCAGTCGAGGCGGATATGTTTCCAACGCAGCTTCTTCTTTTATTTCTTTAGCTATATAAATTTATTATTATAGATTACACATTATTATACAATTTTTATACAGTATCTATAGATATGTGAACAAATTACTACTTGTAAAATTTAAAATAAAATATACTACATTATAGAGATACGACAAATTAATAATATTAAATTACGACCACTCACCTAAATCTTGTCCATGTGCTTTTCCGTTGGCTATAATGTGGATAAGAGAATATCCACTCCAAAGGGGTGATGTACCAGATGGGCACTGAGGAATCATTCTTTCTTGTGAATGAACAGCAAAATAAAATCCTCTTGATTTAGGCATCGGTTGTCTAGCTGGAGGTCCAGCAGCACCCGTAGCTCCACGGTACCCTTCAAAACCTTGTAATCCTTTTACGCCTTTTAAACCTTCAGGTCCCATTAATCCAGGAGATCCAATTTCACCAGGATAGCCTATGTCACCCCTAACTCCTTTGCTTCCTGGAATACCGTTCCGCCCAATTTCTCCTGGTCTTCCGTCGCGACCAGGCTGCCCATCATACCCACGGGGGCCCATGTCTCCTCGCGGTCCAGGAATGATTTCAGAAGCAGCTAATAAATCTCCTGCATCACCTTTCACTCCTTTAATTCCAGGAGGTCCAAATGGCCCTTCTTCTCCTTGGTCACCCCTTAGACCCTTGAACCCTCGCTCACCTATAAATCCTGGCCGTCCGGGTATACCACCCTCACCTAAGTCTCCTTTTTGACCTCGGACACCCTTAAAACCTTTGTGACCTTGGTCTCCACGCGCTCCCTTAGGACTGTATGAGTCACCAATTTCTCCAGCGTCACCCTTAATACCACGAGCTCCGATGTTTCCGATTCCTCCTGGAATTCCTGGTCGTCCAGAAATACCTCGCGGGCCTGGTGCTCCATCCATTCCTACCATACCTTTTGGTCCTTCGAATACAACACCAGGAGGACCAGGTACACCGTCGGGGCCGTTAATACCATATTCACCTGGTTTACCTTTCTGACCTCTGTGACCTGGCCACCCCGGAAGACCATCAAAACCAGGTTTTCCTTGTTCACCTCGTGGGGCGTTTTCAGCGCGTATTCCAGGGAGACCTGGAGGTCCTTGGTCACCTGATATACCCTTGAATCCAGTCATACCAAACTCACCGGTTTGCCCTTGTTCACCGTCTTCCCCACGTTCACCCTTAATACCGACTAATCCGTATGGGCCTGTGTTACCTTTAAGTCCTTTTTGACCTGGTAGACCATCCATTCCCATATCACCCACATCGCCGTTAGTAGGAGGCACGTATATTGTTCTTCCAATATCACCTCGGTCTCCTTTAGCTCCAGGTATACCAGGTGGTCCAGCTGGGCCTATATATCCTACTTCTCCAGGAACTCCATCCAAACCCATACGTCCAGGTCTGCCTTCTATACCTTGATCACCTTTTTCTCCAAGAAGTCCAAAAGGTCCTTGATACCCTTGTTGTCCTTTGAGTCCAACATTTCCACGACGCCCTGGACGACCAGGCATTCCCGGAAAACCTTTATCGCCCTCATCCCCAATTATACCTTTAAAACCAAAATCTCCTATTTCACCTTTTCTGCCTCTTATTCCATAAGCACCTGGGTATCCAGTATTTCCTTTATCACCTTTTAAACCTGGTGGACCCGCAATATTTAGACCTGAAGTTCCAGCGTCACCTCTTTCTCCTTTTGCTCCAGGGAACCCTGGCCTTCCATCAAGACCGTTGTAACCAGGCGACCCTTCGTTACCTTTCAATCCTTTTGCGGAATTATCACCACTAGCACCTTTCTGACCTGGCAAACCCCAGTCACCTCTTCCTCCTTTAAAACCAGGATTACCATCAAAACCATCTAAACCTGGAGCACCGTCTTCACCAGTTTCACCTTTACGACCCCATGGTCCTTCCGGTCCCATTTTTCCGGGTGTTCCGGAACCTCCTATGGAACCAGTATCACCTCGTTCTCCTTGACTTCCTTGAACTCCGACATTTCCAGAAATTCCTGGGAATCCACTGAAACCCATTGCGCCCTGTTCTCCATACATACCACGGACACCTGTCGGTCCAGTATTTCCTTTTACTCCCTTATTACCCATTTTGCCATTTATTCCATGACTACCTTGTAAACCAGGTTCTCCAAACAACCCTTTGCGTCCAGGATAGCCAGGTTGGCCATTTAAGCCGGGAACACCTCGGATTTCTATTCCCTGTATTCCTTTTCTGCCCTAAAAAAAAAAAAAAAACGTAAACATTAATATACCCCGTACAGAAGTTTTGTATTGGCTGGCGTACATTTATATTATCATCATCATCATCATAACGTCACTCCCTTTACCCCAGAAGGGGGAGGCAGAGGTGTACATTACAGCATTTAGTGCCACTGTACAATGTACCACCCACTTTTCACTATTTATGTTATGAGTCCCATGTAATAGGGGGTTATCCTATTGCCATATACCGGGCACAATTCCAGACTCCATGCTACTACTGAAATTTATTTTGAAAAAACCCAGTAGTACTTTGCCCGACCCGGGAATCGAACCCGAGACCCCTTGCCCGGCAGTCGCACTTGCGACCACTCGGCCAACGAGGCAGTCATAGGCATTTATATTATACATATAAATGTACGAATGTCCAAAAATATAAAAAATTACATGAAGCAGTTAAAATAAAATGATAAATTACAAAAATTGGAGTAGGTACTTTTAACAAACTGAATTCTTTGAGTGCATCACTTATTTTATCAAACACGGTGCATTTTTTTCTTTTATTAGATTATAATATTTGATGAATATCGCTGTTGGTTATCTACTATTGACAATCCACTGGTTAACGTGTATTCTACGTAAGGTTAAAATATAAAACCTATTGAGATGTTTTTTAAAAGGAATAAATAGCTTAGATAACATGTAGATCTTACTTTTGATTAATGTATTATACCGAAATCAGTTTCCCATGTTTTGAATAAGCAATATTTTTTTTTAAAAAAGGTGATTCTATTTCTATAAAACCATTTTTACCTGAGGTCCTGGTGGTCCTGTGGGGCCAGCATCTCCCGGTAAACCTTGCTGTCCTTTATTTCCTGTAATTCCATATCTTCCTTGCATACCCGGATAGCCTGCGTCACCATCATCTCCTCTTTCTCCAGCCAGTCCATCAAAACCTTTTTCACCAGCTAAAATGGCTAATCCGGCGTCACCTCGATTTCCCTTCTTTCCCTTATTTCCCATTTCGCCTTTAGGCCCAGCAGAACCTTGGTTACCGGATAATCCGTAAGGCCCAATATCACCTTTTCTTCCGACGAAACCTTTAAAACCCTTCAAACCCTGAATGGATCTACCAGCTGGACCTTGTTCACCATGTACACCAGGCATACCATCATATCCCATGTCACCCCTTTCTCCTTTCAATCCTCTGATACCTGTGAAAGTTACGTTTAGTGTTATTTATTTTACAAAAAGTCATGGAAAAGATACTATATATATTTTTTCTAACTATGTTTACAATAAAATTGTTCGCTGTCCAGAGAAATGTATCAAATAAGTATTATATACCTAAGTACATAGTACTAAATTGATAAAAACTGTCACAAATTCTGCTTGTTTGCTATTGAACACACACTAGGCCTTTAGCTTTTAAATTCCCGAAGGTCTATAGTACCTAACAACAATGTAACACCCACTTTCCCCCTTTATTGTATTCATTCATTAATAAAACGTTGTCATACGATATTTATCGCGCACATTCAAGGCGTGCACCTACCGGAAGGATCTTGTACTTTTTTAAAAAATAACTTATATGATAATTATCTAAGCATTAAGTCATAATAACCAAACTTAATTACCTTTAATACCAGGCATTCCGGTAAAACCTTTCGGGCCCTTAGCATTTATTCCATGATCAAGTGATTCACCAACTTCTCCTTTAATACCATCTTCTCCTGGTTCACCTGTTTCCCCTCTGCAATATAAACAAAACTGTCATCTTTCGATGTTCTGCAGCCGTCAATTTATGATATGATACTTGTAATAATTAGTTTTCTCTTGTTTCTAAAACTATATACACAATAAAAAGTATGTCATGTTAAAATATCTATTTACTTAATTCCTGCCTCTCCTTTTTGTCCCGTAAGGAATTGGATTGGGGTTGTGGCTGGCCGACCTTGCCGTCCTGGCTCTCCGTCGCGTCCTCTTGTACCATTTCTACCAGGTCTGCCTGGGAATCCATCTTCACCCATTTGACCCTTTATGCCCTTTAAACCTGAGTCTCCTCTGTACCCTGGCCATCCTGCGTCACCTGGATTTCCTGGTGCACCGATGAAACCTGTCATAAAAAAATATATTTAGTAAATTATTCTTGGTAAACAAGTGATAATTATTATATTGAAATAATTTCAGTATTATTAAACTTTAATAGATTCAAATATTATAGTAAAATACAATGTCGAGTTGTTAAGGACTAATTCGTAGATTGGTACGAAATCTTATTTGGTTGATTAATGTATTGGTATATTATATACATACCTCGGTCACCAATGGGGCCTGGATCTGCCCTGATTAGATCTTCTGGAGGTAATATAATGCGTCCTTTCGGTCCTTTCGGTCCTTGAGGTCCGGCTCCACCGGCAATACCCTTGTTTCCTTTTGGTCCCTTTGGTCCTGGTAGGCCGTCTTGTCCAGGAAAACCTTTATATCCTTTACGCCCAGATGGGCCTTCAGGTCCTGGATAGCCTTTACGACCAGATGTGCCGTCATCACCTCTTTTTCCCTTTGGTCCATCCAAGCCTACGGAGATAGGAAGGTGTTTAAATTATTATGCAATATAATAAATAAAATAAATTTATGAATCAATATTTGAATACATTTTTGTACTACAACAATTAAAATATTGCAATATTTATGTACATTTTGTGCCTCAGTGCTTTTAATGATCATGAAAAAAGTATCAAAATATTATATATACCTGATTTGCAAAACGGACAATCATCACCACGTTCTCCTTTTGGTCCGTGGAACCCAGGGCGACCAGGCGTACCTGGATCACCAACGATACCCGGGGATCCAGGAGGACCTTCTTCACCTGGTGGTCCAACACCATGAACACCAGTTCCTGGATATCCTTGTGGTCCTTGGTCACCCTGATCACCACGATCTCCTCTTAGGCCAGGTATTCCATCCAAACCTGGTACTCCATCTTCGCCATCAGGACCAATTACTTTTGCACCTTTAAAACCTTTAGGTCCAGTAACTCCGGGTGCACCTGGGAAACCTGAGGGTCCAGGGAATCCAGGAAATCCCTTAAATCCAGCATTTCCCGGTTCTCCTTTCATAGATGTGCCCGTAACCCCTGGCCTGCCTTGAGTTCCTTTGATTCCAGGAAATCCAGGAGGTCCCAAAATACCCGGTAATCCGCGTTGCCCATCAAAGCCTGGAGCTCCAGGAGGACCAAGAATACCTTCAGGGCCTTGGGGTCCTTGAGGTCCTTGTGTTGGTGGTACATCCAACCGTTCATCGTAAATTCCTGGTTCTCCAGAAGGACCTTGTAGGCCAGGGTTGCCTGGCATTCCGTCTTCACCTCTTTCTCCTTTCCATCCATCGGCACCGTCTTGTCCTGCATATCCTGGTGCACCTTTGTCACCTTTGGGACCTGCACTACCTACGCGACCTTGGTGACCAATCTTTCCTCTAGGACCTTCTTGACCTTGTTCACCTTTATATCCTTGTGGCCCGTCAAGACCGTAGGGCCCCTGATTGGAAAAATAAATACAATATACTTACTACACCATTATTTTTGATAACTTTTCAAGTTATTTAACTAGAGGTATATTAGTTTATTGAAATTTAAACTTTTGAAGAAACGAAACTGCAACTATCTGGAGATTTAACAAAAAAATTTACGATCTTTTATGATATGTATTTATGTATTACTTAAAATGTATGCAATTAAACTTGTATGCATATCGAAATATTGGGTCCTTACTCAAACGAATCTACATTATGTCTAATCCCGTAATCCGAAACCTTTCGAAGAATTTAGATTTAACGTGAATAGAAATAACTTACTGTTCGACCTCGGGATCCAGGCATTCCCTTGATTCCTTTAACTCCTCTTTGACCTGGTAATCCTCTTTCACCTTTATTGCCCTTTGTTAGGACTGTAATATTTTGACGAACTTGACCTACTCTGATGATTGTTCCGGGTTTACCAGCTTCACCGATGGGACCTTGATCACCTTTTTCTCCCATTGGTCCTAAGGTGTCCTCACCATCGTTACCTCTATCCCCTGCTTCTCCACGAATACCCATTGGTCCCTATAACATAATATTTAGACATATAAATTAAAGTTACAATATTTTTGTGAAGAGATTCTCACTCATTCAAATATGGTACAATTTTTAAACGTTGAGCCATATTAGTATTATTTTCTGTGTCATTGATGATACGTTGACGATACAATTTTATTATTAACCATTACTATTCCTTGCAGGCATCGAACCCGCGACACTTTGCACAGCAGTCGAATGCGCTAACTGTGCAATCAATCGACTTTTTTGAAACTTGTCCTTAGTATTAGTGATAGTAGTATGGACTCGGAAATTGTGTCCGGTGTTTGGCAGTAGGTTCACACCCAGTAGTAGTAGGTTCCCATGGAACATAGAGGTGAAAAGCGGGTTTTACATTATGTGTACTTCTAATCGTAGTTCCCTACGTAACAGCGACATTTACTTCTTATTGAGCGATATTGTGACATACTCCACGACTGAATCACTGTTTTCCAAAATACAAGCTTAGTTAGGAAAGTAGTATCAGTAACATTCTTAATTTACACGCGTCCATGTAATTACCGCATTTCTGTGAATGTAATATTGTGAATTTTTTGTGACAATAAATAATTTTTAAATTTAATTTATTTTAGCTTTTACCTACTTTGGATTAAAATGTGTGATGTTATTTAATGTAAATAATTAAACATGTGTCTAATTATCAGTAATAACAATAAAATAACTTCCATAATTACCTCGTCACCAGTTTCTCCCGGATTGCCACTGTCACCTTGATAACCCCTTATTCCAATAGGCCCTGGAGTTCCTGCTCGACCCAGTTCACCCATGTCTCCTTTAGATCCTCGTGAATTAGCCCCTCCTTCACCAGCCATTCCTTGAGAACCTTTCTCTCCAATTGGTCCCGGTACACCTCTGTCACCAGGGTAACCCATGGGCCCAGGTGGTCCCAAGATGCCATCAATACCGCTACAACCATCTAAACCTGACAGTCCAATAACGCCTTCCAATCCATACGGACCCTAGAAAATAAATAAATAAACTTTTTAAATTATATAACACTGACGTTTATACCTACCCATTTATGAGCCAATAATACACTAGCTAGGGGACAAATGTACCACGACATGTATCGGCGATATGTCAATTTCGCCTGATAAATATGGCGACAACCCGCGACTTACGCGTCGCTGGTCTCCCGTGTCGCGCGATGTTGCTAGACATGTCGACCGAAGTCCAGCAACTTCGAGCTACTTCACCCAACATTGTTGGCGACACGTGTTGCACGACATTTGTCACCTAGTGTATCTTTGGCTTTAATTAACTATTAGCCCGCACCATCTTTGCTCAAGTAACTGCTACTTTTTGATGTTTCCGGTGAATGTATAGAATTTATATCAGCCACTTCCTGATTTCGAAAAATATAACCTAACCTAACCTAACCTAATCAGAGCTAATATTTACTAGACATTGATTACAGCTCATTCAATTCATACTTGCGGTCCAGTGTCTCCTCTTGGCCCATACGGTCCATCGATACCCTGAAACAAAAAAAAAAGTAGTAAAGTACCTGTGTGTATGGGTATATATTTATCTAAAGACAAATATAAACATAATGTTGTAATGAATCTCTCATATTTATGTCTGTCTTTTCCTTACGTGTGTTCCTTTGTCTCCGTAATCGCCTCTGTCGCCGATGTCTCCTGCTTCTCCCGGCCGGCCTGGACGACCCATGGGTCCATCGTCACCATATTCACCTTGACCACCAGGGATTCCTGGTGGTCCTATATCACCGCGATCTCCTTTGATACCAGTACAGTCGCATTCCGTCTGATTGCACACCACCTGGTCAGAACAAAATTATAGATTTAAGGTAAGTTTTAATAAATCAACGGTTACCCGGCAAACGCTTTGCCCAATGAGGCCGCCTTTGTGCCCAATATGTAGGTCTCCATTACATCTTGAATGTTCAGGTTACAATAATTACAGTATAATAAAGTTAGATTTTATGGAATACAGCAGCAAACGAGCAGCACTTGATGGTAAACAATCGACGCACTTATGTACCAAGCACGTCGTCGGTGTGTCGTCCTTGCGTGGTCGACCAATGCAACACCAAAAGGGTCACTAGTGTATTGCCAGTCTTGGGCTTTTTTGGGATTAGAGGTTTGAGAATCGAGGGCTTAGGTATTAGGGGGGGGGGGGTTCTCCCACAAATTATAATATTCTACAACTTCTGTGGTTAGTGTTTAAGCAATAACTTCCAAGTACCATTGAAGTCAACAATTGAAGATTACGTTATTACGGGTACCGATATGTGTAAATAGTGACCTAAAACGACAGCTGGGTTTGACTCAGATTCAGAGTAGAATGCAAATAACTTTAGGTACTGAATCATGAACTTATAAAACGTCGGCTTTAACTTACTAAAACAAACAAGCAGTGAGTTACAAAATTATTTAAAAAATTTTCATTTCGCTAATCAATTAATCCCATAAATCAATCATTTTAATCAATCCCATATGTTGAAATTTAAATCGTATCCGTTTAGATAAAACCTAGGTACACAAGTACCTATATTAACATAGATAATTGTTTATCGTGGGCCTATAAACTTATCTTTGCAAGTTACCCACTACTTACAGAGTCTACATGCATCGTGTGCAATCTACCGAAGTGATTGATTGGTTTCTCCACTAAAACTGTAATAAATTAATTTGATTTTATATACCGTTCCATTTTATTATTTTTATGTCGTTGTCATATTTTTATAAGAATATTGCACATTAATTAAAAATACTGTGTAATAGAGTAGGTAACAAAGAACGTGCCTTATCGTCGGGACCTCTGACATACATTCGACGCAGAGCAAGTGTAAGAACATTGCACTTCCTACTTTATTATAGAGCATGAAAATAAGTTCATTATTATAATCTAAGTCATAAATCTATTAAAGAAATGTCTTATATTTAGAAGACAGAATGATGTAGTACAACTTACAAAATTAAGTAGATAGATATGCAGCGAATTGCTTAATTTATCTAGGTACCTAACATTGGAACATTACTAAGTTTATTATACTTGAACTATGTATATAAACGTATTTTAAAGTTTCAAAAATTTACAGCAACGATTCCAAATGGGTTTACCAGTAAGGTTTATGGTTGAAGGATGATGTCAGAGCTTTGCATTACATCATCTTCCGAACTAACCAGACGTTAACCGCAGCTTCTTCATTCTAGTTTTATTGCAGTCAAACGGATTTGTATCCTTTTTCAACATGTGTCTTATTATTTGTTATATTAATTCAGTCCGACAGTTTTTTAACGCACACATTCATAAAAATATCAAAAGTACGCACCAATAAGTTCCTAGTTTTTGTTGTTATACTGTACAAAAGGAAATTGAGAATTAAAAAAATTGAGGTTACTTGGGAAATCTACATCAGTACATGTATAACCTATTCTATACCTTGTTCCTGAAAATTAGAAAAATTAGACGAAGATATTAAGTAGTATGATGTTAAGAAGAGTTCGAATTACCATCACAAATTCCTTTAAACATGAGGATGACTCTATGACTGTAGTTAGAGGTTCTTATGCGTACCTAAGTATACAAATACAGAATATGGTCACAGTTTCAAACGTAGGTATTAAATAACATGCTAAATTTGCACGACGCAATGCAATAGAGTTCGGTGGCGAACTGCTTTTAAATTAGCACTTTATTGCGACGGTCCGTTGGAGTCAGAGAATTGAATGATCAGTCTTTATAATGTAGATCGTTTTCAATTAGTTTAATGTTTATCACATCTCAATGATAGTAAAGTTCATGCAGTGGCCTAAATGTGTCGGTCAGTGTAAGACATATAGGTACCTACTTGGAAATAATAAATCAAGCTACATTTAAACTAAACTCTCTTCTTCTCCTGGGTTCCCCAATTTTCGAAAACAGTTTCTCTGATTTCATAAACGAGAAAATTAAAAATTTCTGTGACATTTCCGATAGACTTTCCAAAATTAATCTACATTGTGCCTTTACATTAATTCGCTATTGTTGTTTCGGCCCAAAATTTATGTATTTTCTGCGTGCTTCCCCTCTGTGGAAACATCCGCATATTCTGGACCAAATTGATCAAATTATCCGTGACACATTAACTTCACTTTTGAATGCTTCCATGGACGATCGTGTTTGGCTTCAAGCCACACTACCAATTCGTTTTGGTGGCCTAGGCGTCCGCAAAATTTCCAGTGTTAGTTTACCGGCGTTCATCTCTTCTGTCCACAGCACTAGTACTTTAACAAAAAATATTTTAGCCGGTCTTGACGTTGAACCCGATGTGCCGTGTCTGACCGACGCGATGAACGCCTGGACAGAAACTTGTCCCAATACAGCCTTGCCTGTCAACCCTTCCTCCCAGAGACAATGGGACGAGCCGCTTTGCAGGTTGGTGCATAATAATCTAATTAATACCAGCACCAATCCTGCGGAGTTAGCTCGCCTATTGGCTGTGGGTGAGTGGGAATCAGGTCTCTGGCTTCAGGCACTTCCGTCATTCAATATTGGCACGATGTTGAATGACTCAACTTTTCGGCTTGCTGCTTGCTTGCGTGTAGGTGCACCCTGTGTTTCTCCGCATCGCTGTCAATGCGGTGAGATGGTCGACCACCTCGGCCACCACGGCCTATCGTGTAGCAGAAGCGCGGGCCGGATAGCCCGACACGCCAGCATTAACGACATCATCCGTCGAGCTCTTGTCATCGCCGGTGTACCAGCTGTTCTGGAACCAAAGGGTTTGGCACGCGACGATGGTAAGAGACCCGACGGTATGTCCATTATGCCCTGGAAGCTGGGAAAGTCTTTGGTGTGGGACGCAACCTGCGTCGACACCCTTGCACCTTCTCATCTTCCAGTAACGGCGAGTTGTGCTGGTTCGGCTGCTGCCTCTGCAGAAAACCTCAAGCGGCGCAAGTATAACAACCTTGCTGGTAGTTATATCTTTGAGCCGTTTGGGGTTGAAACGTTAGGTCCGTGGGGTCCGAGTGCGCTTAAATTGTTCAAAAACATTTCGAAACGCCTGGTCGACACATCTCGTGACCAGAGGGCTGGTCTTTTTCTCGGTCAGAGGTTAAGCATTGCCATACAACGTGGCAATGCTGCCAGCCTTCTGGGTACTTTCCCCACTGACGTCGATGCGGACGAATTTTTCGATGCCTTATAAATAGTTTATTTTTCCTATAATTAATTTTAATCATAAGTTGTATATATTTAATTTAGTAATATTTAGTTTTAATTTTATTTATGTAATAGTTGTTATTTAAGTTTTTTATTCACAAAATAAAGTGCAATGAGCTACATTTTTATTTGGACATGTCGTGAGACTTGTGATTTTATTTTAAGTACAGTTCACCCAAGGTAGGTAGGTCTCTTTCAGAGGATTTCTCTTTCCCAGCGCCCCTAACAGGTGCTGAGGCCGGCCACCGGGGTGGTATTAGTGAGGAGAGGAGAAACATTCATAAAACACGATGCGACTACAACCTGTACGATATATTGTACTACATTGGAAGTCTCCCATTAACTTCTGGATATCAGTTTGCGCGTCAATAACATAAGTTTTGCTGTGTGTTATTATAATCTGCAGCTGTGCAGATTAGGCTGTGGGTCTGCGTTATATGTTGCTGTAGCGTAACTTCCGGCCAAAGCGCGTGGGAGGTGCGCGCTCATCGGTCGTCATCCGCTGCATGTGCACGCGACTGCCCAAGCGTCCACTAGCGGTATCGGGAGTCAGGAGTACTGAGGCGCCTCGTACATTGATGCTGAATGGACACCTACCTAAGTATTTTACGAACCCCGTTTAATAGATCAGTTGAAAGTATTATTTAACTGAATTAAAAAAGGTGGTTCTCTGCTTGAGGTGCGTATATATTTTATTTATTATTTCATTAGGTACCTAGGTACATAACAATGAAAAAAAATACAATCTATACGGTCAAATTGAAGACATCCTCCTTTTTTTGAAGTCGGTTAAAAATAATTCAAAACGGCCATGCGACTAGTTTACATAAGCTATTAATTACATCATGACAACATAATAATTATGGCAGTACGCGATTACGGAGCGGGTGAGTCATTGGTTGCAATTCAAGGAACAGGCTGGATAAACAATCATTGCAGTGTCCAAGGCGATAACGACCATTCGCACATCCCGCGACCCGCGCCTGCGCCCGCGCACCCCTCACACCCTTCTCACCCTACCTCCACGTGTAAGTATCATTATCATGTACTTACTACATTGTTATAATTATAATATTTATTCATACACTTATTGTTATTTTAAGTATGTGTAAACCTATCTAACATTACATTGCCCATAATTTTGTATTTGAATGAAAGTATTCCCCTGAGTACCTATCCCGGTATCGCGGTAGGTACTCGAAAGTGTGGTGACATATTAATTAAATGTTAGTTTATTGTAATCTACAGTACCTATTTGTTAAATTCTGCGAGATCACTTCTGTAAATAAACTCTAGCTCATTACTTCCAGTAGTTCTAGTATGCAGGACAGTCACGCTACAAGCTAAAGTATGATTTATTGTGAGTTTGCAGGAATTACTATGCAAATACCTACCCACCAAAATACTTAAATATCAAATACCAATCGGACTGATGAATTAACATTCTTCCTGGTTTTAATCCGTCACTATTTATTAATGAGACGATTGAGACGTTTAGTACCTATATGTTGTTTAAAAAAAACAACAGTGTTATTAACGAGTTGTGCCGTAGGAAGTAACTATTAATAGACATATTATTCATTATTATTATAGTAACTATGTCAAAAGTA